GCATCTGCAATGAAAAATAAGTTATACAGATATATAGTCTGTGTGTTTATTTACAGGCTCGGTCTCACTGTATAATTTAGGGTGGCCTTGAACTCACTGTGTACCCCAGGATGGTTTCAAATTCATAGCAGTCTTCCTGCTTCAGCCTCCCAAATGTTGGGGTTATAGGCATGTGCCACTATGCCTGGCAAGTCTGTGTTTAATAATATGTAATGTGATATATATGTATCCAGAACTCATCACCACCAGATACTCTCTGCAGTTTCATGCAGGGTCTCTGATTGGCAGCAGCAACTGAGCTGGTACTCAGCTCCAAGCCTAGGAGGTTGTCTTGCTTATTATTTTTAGCTAATTGTAAGTAGTCAAATCTGAAAAGGAGCTTGAATATTGAAATAAACTGAACAGTGAAGGGTAACTCAGGGAAGTTTAGAAGTGGTAGAAGTTTCTGTAGAGCCCCTTTGGTTTGAGTCCTCCTTCAAGGAGATACCATAGTAAGAGCAAGTCCAGGTGATCTGACCTCCAGCCGGTTTTCAGGGCCACTTGGTCCACACCCAGGCCATTTACATGTAGGTTAGGTAAAGGAGGTTAGCGAGATGGATCCCGTGTCTCCCAGGGTTCTGTTGGTCACATGGGTGTACAAATGTGTTTCCTGTAGGCTCACTCTTCATATGACAGGCATGAAGGAGAGAAGTGATTTTCCTGTGTGTGCACTCAGAAGCAATACATACGGCTCCAGTGCAAATGGGGAAGAGATTAGAAAACTGTACCCTGCAGGTTGTCGGATGAAACTATTCTCTTGGAAAAGCAGTGACCACCTTTGCCTAAGCCCGGTGAAGCCTAGCAGCAGCATCCTACTCCATTACACACAACCCAGAAATAACTATTGGGATCCAGATGTGAAGCCTCTCCTGGAAAATCAGAACCACGCAGATTTCACAGGAGGTGGGATCACCTACTGTTTGGGAAATTCCAGTGTCTCCTTTCTGATTTTTTTAGATAATAGATAAAACTACATACAGGTCTTTTGAGAAAGTCCAAGTTCTTCTGGTCTTCACTTCCCCGTTTTGCTTTATCTTTGCATCATGCTTTGCAGTTATACACAGGCGCAATGGGCGAGTGTTCCAGTAAGCCAGCCGGATCATATTTCTTAGATTGAGTCATTGCTGAGAAACTTGTTTGTGAACAGGAAGCAGCTTATGAAAATATCTGTACCTAGTAACCTGCCCACCTCTGAGGAAACTGGACACTTTCTAGTTGAAAAACAAGCGAGTAGAAAGCTAAGGGCTGCATGTAGACTATTTGCCTGGCATGTGACAACAGTCAGGGTTAGAGGAGGACCATAGATGGTTCTTCAACCCAGAGATGGTACACTGACGATTTCAGCCTGTATGCTGCCAAATCATTTGTCTGTTGGTGTTTATTTGGGAATTTTTATGTAGTTAAAACAGTTGTAGATGTTGAAGCCTGAACTAATAATCCTTAGGGTTTCTTTAGAAGGAAAACTTGAACTAGTGATAGCTGTTAACGCTTGAGTCTGTTGATATATATAAGTCATTGCTAGATAGACCATCTAATTTTTAAACAGTTTGGCAGTTAAAAATGTAGCAACTTTGTAGTTGGCATAGATGACTGTACAGTTCCTTTTAATAGTTACTGTGTATTTTTAATCATTCTAGAAGATTTTTTGTTACTATTGTTGGAGGTGTTTTGAGACAGGGTCTTTCCATCCTTAGCCTCTGGAGTGCTGGGATTATTGGCGTGTACCACCACACCCAGTGCTTCATTCTGCATTTTTGATCATCTAGTTTATAAAGTAAAACAGTTAACAGCAAAATAAATTTTAAAAATACCTCGTTGGTCTCATTTTACTTAGTAAAGATTCTCTCTGCAAAGTATGTTGTTAACCAAGGAAATCTTGTTTGCTGTTTAATTCTTACAAATTCAAGCATGCCCTCAATTGTTTTTATAGCTGCCTATAGCTCTGTCTTAACAATTAGCTTCCTATAGTTCTTAATAGCTGAAAAGTAGAATATGGTTCATGTTTTGTCTGGTTTTGTTCAGAAATATTTGGCAGTGTCTATGAAGTAAAATAATCCGATTTAACTTTTAGGTGAATAATTGGGCATAGCATAAACAACAAAATGTAAGAAGATCATGAGATGTAACTTAAATTCTGAATTTTAGTAATTAACATTACTAAAATTGGATGGAAGCAATCCTTGGGGGATAAACTCGAAGCCTGATTTTTGTCTTATGCGCATTCAGGAGTTGTGTAGTAACGTGCTGCGTGTGGTGGTGTACTCACTTATTAAAGAGGTTGATTGCTGAGGTTTGTTCGTTCTTAGAAGAAAACTACCACCTTCCTGTCCACAGAAGGAAAGGGGGTTGTGAGGTACCAGCCTCATTTACTTATATACTTAAACAATACTATTTTATTTTTCATCTAAAATATGATTCTAAAACCACAGTTTACTGAATAGCTTTAGTTTAGGGCAGGGACCATTATTTTTTTTTCTGAGTTTTTGGGATCATCTCAACAAAATAAACATTGGTTTATTCAAAGTACTAAAATTGACCTGCAAAAAATGTGTTTAAGGGGCCAAGGATATAGCTCAGGGGCACAGCACCTGCCTGGCAGACATGAGGTCCTGAGTTCAATTCCCATTACCCCCCCCACACACACACACAAATATGTAATGTGGATTCTATGTTCAAGGCCTTCTTTACCCCAGTACAAAGATGTTTGTTTTAAAGGGGTATAAGCTAATTGTCCAACTCCGCTTTCCCACGAAACCTGTGACAGATTACCCAGATGACAAATGATGTATACATTTTAAAACATGAATATTTCCACAAGGCCATGGTGATTAAACATGAATTGTCCAACATATGTGTTTCTTACTAAATTGTCTTCTTTTGTGTAAGCCAGGCTTGCAACATAATTTGGAACACACTTGGAATCATTCTTAACAGGCCAAAAACAAAAAACTCAGGCCCTGAGTGCCAAACAATATTAATTCCATATGCTTATTATAAAAAGGCTCACAGCTAACACTTAAGTGATCCTTAGGAAAGTTTTTCACCAGTGGTCAGGAAGTACCTGTCGGAGTGCTGGAAGCCATCCCTGCTCTTCTCTCCTTCCCTGAATTTATCCGACATTGTGCACCATGGCTGTCTTCTTGGGGGACTTGCGGCTGGCCAGATATCTCTTATTTCATTTCTTCAAATACAGCTGAGATTCTACCCCGAAGAGCAGTGTGGGTTTTTGCTAAGGCACTTCCCTTCCCCGCTGCCTGATGTCATGTTCTTGTTTGCGATGGGCTCCTCCCCAACTATTATTTCCTCCTAGACGGGGTGCAGCTTTGCCGCGAGGTGGGCGGTTTGTACAGTAAGTCATGTGCGCAGTCACAGGGCTCCTCACAGGAAGTGCTTGCTGCCCGTGGGGTCAGCACAGGACACAGCACCGCGCCTCTGGCCTCCCCAGCTGCGTCTGGGGCCAACAGGCTTCTGCTGTTCTTTTGAAACATCATGTTTTGAGTATTCACACAATGTCCAATCTCTGCTAGCATGTGCCTTTTGAAACATGTGAGAAAATCTAAGTGACTCAATATGATATATTAAGACCGTGACAAGAAAATTATTGTTGCTGTGTTCTAAACTTGATTAAAAAGTGTTCTTAAGAATTCAGAGAGTATTTTGAAAGCTGTTTTGGTGCCATTATGATTGCTTGGATTGCTTCTGGCCTTAGGAAGAACAACTAGAAGTCACTTTTTAGGGGGCTGGGGATTTAGCTCAGTGGCATAAGCGCCTGCCTTGAAAGCAGGCAGTTGTGAGTTCGATCCCTGGTACCGGTAAAAACGAAAAACCCCCCAAAAAAAAAATTAAAAAAAAATTTAAAAAAAGAAGTCACTTTTTAAATACTTGTTAGCGGCCTTCCTAGTGGAAATGGGAAACTAGAGCTGTGGGGCTGCAGCACTGTTTCGGATCTGAGAACAGCATGCTCGGGAGCTGATCCAAATGAGGGTCCCTCTTATTTTTCCTGTTTGTAATAAAGATTCATCAAAGTATCTTCTTTTGATCATGTTATATAAAGTTTAAAACAACACTGAATGCATTGAAAGCTACTCATGGCAGGCATTGAATGGCCACTGAACACTGTAGGGATAGTAACAGGGTAGGGGGTACCCACTGTTCTCATCACCATGGTCCCCAGTATTCACAGTATTCCTGTAATTTGCTTTTTATTTATTAAAAAAGATCTTAGTCCTTTTTTTTTTTTTAAACAACATACACTTGGGCTGGGGATTTAGTTCAGTGGTTCAAGCGCTTGCCTGGTAAGTGCAAGGCCCTAAGTTCAATCCCTTATACCAAAACAAACAAACAAACTAAAACCACACACTGCACATGGCTGAAAGAAATTTCAGACCTACCCCTGAGAAAAAACCAAGCAGCTTCACTGCTTCAATGACACAAAATTTGGAGACAAGTTAAACTGCTCCATTCTTTCTGTCTAGATAATCACAGTGTTATTTTAAGCTTCCCACAATTTTAGGTTCATAGCTTTATTGTTCAGTGGTCTGGAGTTTGGTCTCACCTATAGTAAGTAGCCCACCACTGTCAACGTGTAGTACATTTGCACACATATATGAGATCTTTTTCATGTCTCATTTGGTCATTAGTTGTATGCAAGGGTAGGATGAAATAATTAAAATGTATAGCTGAAGCCATTGGAAGCGCTCAGATGTCATCTAGTAGGAAGGGAAAGACAGAAAACTAACAAGTTATCTCTTGCTGTGATTGCCACTGATAATTTTAATCAATTCCTTTAAAGATTTCCTTTAGTGAATAGATTCACAGAATGGAGTTAATTCTCTTTTTAACATTGGACCAGTGTTCTTGGTCAGATTTTCTCTTATAACTGTCTCAATCATCAACAGTGGCATCTGTGGATTAACCTATGTGGAGTATCTTATGACCTTCCTTTTTTGTTTTAAATACAGGACATGGATTTAATTGACATACTCTGGAGGCAAGATATTGACCTTGGGGCAAGTCGAGAAGTATTTGACTTCACTCAGCGACAGAAGGAGTATGAGCTGGAAAAACAGAAAAAACTTGAAAAGGAAAGACAAGAACAACTCCAAAAGGAGCAAGAGAAAGCCTTCTTTGCTCAGTTACAGCTAGATGAAGAGACAGGGGAATTCCTCCCAATTCAGCCAGCCCAGCAGCACATCCAGTCAGAAACCAGTGGATCCGGCAACTACTCCCAGGTACAGAGTACTCAGTTCTTAGGAAAGTGTATGGCAGAGCTAAGAAACACTGACAGGAATTAGAATATCTAGAGTTAACTTCCCAGCCTTGGCCTGCTGGTAAGTTCTAACCCAGCCTATTTACCTGACAGGATCATTATAAGGAGCAGGACATGAATCACATAAAAGGACTTTGTAGATCACAGAAGCACATAGTAACGATCAAACAGTAGTAGAAGTACTGGTAACAGTGAAACTAGTAGGCCAGGGATTTAGCTCAGCTGCGTAAGCGCCTGCCTGGCAAGCACGAGGTCATGAGTTCGATTGCTGGTACCAAAAGAAAAATTTAGTGAAACTAGTAGTGACCACTGCTTACCATATTGTGCCAGGGACTGTTTATTAACCGGGTTAATCAACATAGCTGCGATCAGAATATAGTTCAGTAGCACAGTGCCTACCTAGCAAACATGAGGTCATGAGTTCAATTCCTGGTATGAAAAAAACAAAAACTAATCAACATAGCTGTGTAAATTAGGCACCATTATTCATATTTTATATACAGATATGCAACTGAAGTTTAAAAATGTTAATTAGCCCAGATCTTTCAAGAAAGGGGAGGGCAAGGAGCATAGCTCAGTGATAGGGCACCTGCCTAGCATATGTAAAGCCCTGAGTTCAGTCCTCAGCACTGCAAGGAAAAGAAAAAAATTGGAGGTAGCCTGGTTTGAGTCTGTGTACCAAACTGATTTTTTAAATCAGAAAAATATTATTCTCTGAACATCAATCATAAATCTTACATCAATCATGAACCGTTAGCCTGGCACTGGAACATTGTAACAATTTTTTTCCCTTTATGCCTTTCCCCTTTAATCCAGGTTGCCCACATTCCCAAACCAGATGCTCTGTGCTTCGATGACTGCATGCAGCTTTTGGCAGAAACATTCCCATTTGTAGATGACAATGAGGTATAAAACATTTGGTTACCAGCAAAACTTGACTACATTCACCACATCCTGCATAAGTCTCTTCAGTGTGTCTCCATTTAAAGGAATGAAACATTTTAGCAGGAGGATTTTTATCAAGGAAATATTCTGTCAGCACCTTAATAGATAGATACTTCATTTTTTTTTTTTTTTTTAACCCTCACAATACAAAATCACACACCTTTCCTACTACACAGTTATGGATCAGCAGAGCTGGCAGTAACTTATTTGTTATGGGTTTACAAAACTTTCTGGTAAGACCAAGCTGAGTAAGAAACAGACTTGTTAACAATTTAAACACATCTGTTTTATTTGAAGTACTGATACTAAAGGTGCAAATTAACTCCTAAAGATTGGGGTTGTTTTGTTTTTGTCTTTCTGAGGCAGGGTTTCACTATGCAGTTGAGGCTGGCTTGAACTCACTTGATAGCCCAGGCTGACCTCGACTTGCAGCAATCTGCCTGCCTCAGCCTCCCAAAGGGCTGGGATTAGAGGCGTGCACCACCATGCCCGGCCAAGATTGTACTTATCAATCTTCAAATAAGTGGAGAAGTGCAGAACTGTTGCTGATTCTACTCAAAGGTGTATCACTGTGCTTTGGAGCTTCCTTATCCACAGGTGCCTTATGCCTTGTCCATTTTAGGTTTCTTCACCTACATTTCAGTCACTTGTTCCTGATATTCCCAACCACATCAAAAGCCCAGTCTTCACTGCACCTAATCAGGCTCAGTCACCTGAAACTCCCCTTGAGGTAGCCATGGGTGATGCAGACAACATGCAGCAGGACATTGAGGAAATCTGGCAGGAGCTGTTTTCCATTCCAGAATTACAGGTAAGATGTAACACAGTGCTGCAATGCCATTTTATATTCAGTGGCTTTAAATTAGTCATTGTGATTATTATTTATATACCCTGTACTTATAGGAAGGATTTATAGATGCTTTTATAATAGTCATGAGAGCACCCAGGGCTTGCTTAACTTGCACTTTTATGAGTAAACGGCCACATATTTCGGGGTAGAACTATTATTTTGTTTTTTTTAATCGGTACCGGGGATCAAACCCATGACCGCCTGCTTGGAAGGCAGGTGCTTATGCCGCTGAGCTAAATCCCCAGCCCAGTAGAACTATTATAAACTTAATCTAAACTAGGACTTTTGAAAGTAATAGATATGCTTAGTAAACTGTCGAGTACCCTTAAAGATACTTTGAGGGGCAGGTATGGGAAAGGTTTAACCTAAAGTTTCCAACAGCTGTGGATTATCAGCTATTAAAAATATTTAACCTTGATTCATACAGTATAAACTTGTTTCCACAGTGTCTTAATATTGAAAATGACAAGTTGGTGGAGACTACCATGGTTCCAAGCCCAGAATCCAAACTGACAGAAATTAACAATTTCTTCTACTCATCAGTCCCTTCACTGGAAAAGGACGTAGGAAGCTGCGGTCCAGAGTTTCTTAATACTTTTGAGGACTCTTTCAGCAGCATCCTCTCCACAGAAGATCCCAGCCAGCTGACAGTGAACTCCTTAAATTCAGAAGCCACATTAAACACAGATTTTGGTGATGAATTTTATTCTGCTTTCATAGCAGGACCAAGTGTCAGCAACAGTGCATCCTCCTCTGCCACTGTAAGCCAGTCACTCTCTGAACTTGAACTTTTATGTGGGCCCATTGATATTTCTGATCTGTCACTCTGTAAAGCGTTCAACAGAAATCACCCTGAAAGCACAGTAGAGCTTAATGACTCTGACTCTGGCATTTCACTGAACACAAGTCCCAGCATAGCGTCACCAGAACACTCAGTGGCATCTTCTGTCTATGGAGACCCACCACCTGGCTTCAGTGATTCGGAAATGGAAGAGCTGGATAGTGCCCCTGGTAATGTCAAATCCAGTGGTTCCAAAACACAGCCAGTGTATTCCGCTGAGGATACCACACAACCTCTGTCACCATCTCAAGGGCACAGTTCTTCTGTACATGATGCCCCGTGTGAAAACACACCAAAGAAAGATTTACCTACAAGTCTTGCTCATCGAAAAACCCCATTCACGAAAGACAAACATTCAAGCCGCTTGGAGGCTCATTTCACCAGAGATGAGCTTAGGGCAAAAGCTCTCCATATCCCATTCCCTGTAGAAAAAATCATTAACCTCCCTGTTGATGACTTCCATGAAATGATGTCGAAGGAGCAATTCAGTGAAGCTCAAGTTGCACTAATTCGAGATATACGTAGGAGGGGCAAGAATAAAGTAGCAGCTCAGAATTGCAGAAAAAGGAAACTGGAAAATATAGTGGAACTGGAGCAAGATTTAGGTCATTTAAAAGATGAAAAAGAAAAACTACTCAAAGAAAAAGGAGAAAATGACAAAAGCCTCCATCAACTGAAAAAACAACTCAGCACCTTGTATCTTGAAGTCTTCAGCATGCTACGTGATGAAGATGGAAAACCTTATTCTCCTAGTGAATACTCCCTGCAGCAAACAAGAGATGGCAATGTATTCCTTGTTCCCAAAAGCAAGCGGGCAGATGTTAAAAAAAACTAGATTGGGAAGATTTGCCTTTTGTTTTGTACTGTTATACTAAAAGCTCCTACTGTGATGTGAAATGCAAGAAAATACTTTATAAGTAATTCTATGCAAAAATTATAGCCAAAACTAGTATAGAAAATAAACATTAAAGGGCCAGGGGTTTAGCTCAGCGTCACAAGTGCTTGCTTGGCAAGCACGAGGTCATGAGTTTGATCCTTGGTACAAAAAAAAAAAAAAAAATTTAATGAAAATAAACATTAAAAAGCACTGAATTATCAGTATGTTGAATCAGTAGTTTCACTTTAACTGCAAGGTTAATTTCTTAGGACACCATTTGGGCTTGTTTCTGTATAAGTGTAAATACTACAAAATTTCTTATTTATACTGTTCTTATCTCATTTGTTACATTCATAGATTTATATGATGATGTGACATCTGGCTAAAAGCAAATTGATGCAAAACTAACCACTATGTACTTTTTTTATAAATACTATATGAACAAAAAATTGCATTTTTATATTGCTTAGTTCTGGCAAAAAATTAAGAGCTGGTACTAATAAAGGAATATGATGACTTAAATTGTATCTTCAGATTGAGTTTATTCACAACAGTATTTTCAGAGAGTCAATTTTGAATTTTCAAAATGTCTTTTACACTTTTTAAGAAGCATTTTATACTAAATATATGGTCCTTGGGTCCCAGAAAAATCAATCTTCAAGAAATAACTCCTCGTATGGTGGACAGCCTGTAATCCCAGCACTCATGAGGCTGAGGCAAGACGACTGCTGTGAGTTTGAGGCCAACATGGCTACAAAGTGAGGCCCTGTCTCCAAAACACACACACAAAGCTCCTTTAGCAAGTACAGTATATCTCAAAAGAAAATGTTTGCATATTGACATGAAACCACTGATTCATATAGATCAACAGATGGGCGTTTACTCTGTATCAGGCATTTTCTTAAATTATGAAAAAGAAAAGATCTCTAACCTATCAGAACTTTCATTTTAGCAAACCAGTGGATGCTGGCCCTACTGGCATATTCGTATAATCCCAGCAGTTGAAGCCTGAGGCAAGAGACTCAGGGGCTGGGGATGTAGCTCAGTGTAGTGCTGGCCCATGATTTGAAAAAGAAAAGAAAAAATAGGAAGACCAGAGGCACTGTAACAAAATAGTTATAAACAGGAAGCCATACTGGGGATGCAACACTTGAAGGTGTGGGAGAGAGAGCAAGGTATTCTGAAAGCTTTAAGGGTACTACAGAGAGGACACAGGAAGTCCAAAGAAGGCAAAAGCCTGTTTCTGACAAAAAGGACAATGTACAATGGGAAGAAGAAAGCCAAGGAGTGGGGCACTGCACAAAATCATACAAACTTGCCATGTGGAGGAGTGCCATCAGGCCTACAAGAATCCTATAGCTTCAAGGCTGAGTTCAGAGAGCAAAGGTAAGGAGTAGGGAAAGGAGTTTGAGGTATTTATGATGGTGGTTTGGACCACAGCAATGATGAAAGACATCTGGATTTGACATCTCAAAAGGACCTTAAAGGTTACAGAATGGAAGAACTGAGTTGTCCTAGAATGAAAAACATGGGAAATAGTGGGAAAATCAGTTAATATTTAGGCATGCTGAAAACTTAAGACATGCAGAAGAATACCAAAACAAGACCCCTCAAAAACCCTTTAAGAATGTGTTTTCCAACAAACCATACACCATTCACTTGCATCTAAACAACTGTTCATGATTTTTGAATTGGGAAACGGAGATTCATTTGGGCATGTTTAGAATAGGTGCTGCACGCAAGTTATGCATTTCTAAGGGTTCTGCCCACCCGCTAGGCCATTATAGTGCAGCGGTTCACCAGCCCTGGAACCAGACTGTTCGCTGCTCTCATTTCCTAGAATGCCCTTCATCAGTTCAGCTCAGCACTCGCTCATTTCCTGACTACACTGGAGCTAGAGTTCTGATTCATTGACCACACGATTAAGTGGTTCCCCGCAATGTTCTTCAGCTTTGTGCTGATACATTTAAGTAAAATGAAATCAAGCTAGCTCAATAAGAAAAGTTGACTTAGATGTCTGAAAGGCTCAGGGTTGAAACTTACTTCAAGGACCATTGAGTCTGGGATTCAAATCTGAAAATGCTTTACATCTTGAATATCTCATGCCATCTTAAGAATTCTCTGATGGTGGTGGTGGTGGTGACTGATGAGAGGGTCCCTGGAGGAGACATTTTTGCAATCTCCAAACATAATCTCATGTCTAACATATAAGTCCTTAGTCAAAGTTGACAGCAGACCCATGCAGAGGAACTGGAACTGGTAGGAGGAAGTGTACTGTTGGGTTACACAGAACACTCTTCCTCTCTACATCAGCATTTCAGCAAATTTCAACATATTCTGCATTGTGAACACAAAATTTTTAAGCTTATGCAAAAGCAGTTTCACTTTTCTTGCTCTACATTTCAGTATTTTTGTTTTTTCAGATGGTCTTGCTATGTAGTGCAGATTGCCCTTGAACTCACTTTGTAGCCCATGCTGTTCTCAAATACACAGTGATTCTCCTGCCTTAGTCTGAGTGCTGGAATTACAGACTTTGGCCCACCACACCTAGCTCAGTAATAGCTTCATAGCTGTCCTCAAACTAAATCTGGCCCCCTTCAACTGTTAAACCTTACTTGAACAGTTAAATTCTGCAGTCTGAAAATAGGTATGATAAATCTTAATTGCATGATATTGTATATAAAGCCTGATTTTGGACTGAGGTTATCTCACTTTTTGGGAAGGGGCTTCTCAAATATATCTACCACACCTTTTTATAATTAATGCAAAACATTCTTCCATTTATGTTTCCAGACAGGACTTTGTTCTGTTGTCCAGGCTGGCCTTGAACTCTCAGCAATCCTGCCTCAGCCTCTGTGCGCACACCTGGCTTCCCACTTAAAAAATCCAGCTGTATGTGGCAGTTCACACCTGTAATCCCAGCAGTGATTTTGAGGCCAGCCTGGGCTGCAAAGTGAGTTCAAAACCAACCTGAATTGCATAATGTGACATTGTCTCAAAGACAAATTGAAATTATTTCTACTGGAAAGATATGACTATTTCTACTACTGAATAAAAAACTTCAAGAACTATATAAACACTTGAATGAGGCTGGGTGGTGGCACACCTGTAATTCTAGGACTTGAGGGGCTGAGGCATGAGAATGGCTGCCAAATTGGGAGGCTAGCTGGGCTACCATAGTGAGCTTAAGCCCAGCTTGAAAGAGGGAGTATCTCAAAAAGTCCAACAAACAAAACCACCTTGACTACATACAGAAAATCTTGTCACCCATCAGGGATGCTAAAACAATCATGGGATTTAAGTCCATCTTCACACTGAACCTTTAGATTTGAAAGTGTCAGTTTTATTTCTAGGTACTAAAAATGGAACTCATAACCTGAAACTTGCCAGGCAGGCACTGTGCCACTGAGCTGTATTCTCAGCTATCTCCATTTCATATGAAAGAAAATCAGGTTTTTAAAAAGTTGCTAGCCTGGGGCTGAGGATTTAGCTCAGCGGCATAAGCACCTGCCTTGCAAGCAGGCGATCACGAGTTCGATCCCCAGTACCGATAAAAATGAAAAAAACAAAAAAAAGTTGCAAGCCTGGATAAACTTGAGTGTTTTCCTAGTGTTTAATAAAATGCGTAATTCTTTCAGAAGTAACAAACCACAATACTTGGTATTCAGTGCTTATGGTTTTATTAGTTCAAAACAGTGTTAATTACTGTGGGAAACTTCAAAGTATCACATATGCAACTTCAAAGAAATTAGGCTCACCATTTAGGCCTCATTTACTGTATGAAGTACATATTACTAAGTCACAAACTTAGTATTCCATGTATTTATAACAAAAAATATCGTGTCTTTTGGCATTACCAAACTGCAGACTAAAGAACCTCCATTCTCTCACCCAAGGTCACTATGAATTTAAATAGGCAAAGTTTGAACAAAATCAGTCCTTTAGTACTTATGAAATGGCAAACAACGTAAGATTTTCAAATAAACTCATCGGATTTTCATCTTAATGAAAAGACAATTTGTTGACAAAGGGAATGGAGCAAGTCAAAAAATGAAAACTACCAAATTTTCAACCTCCACAGAATTTTTATCTGAATACAAGCCCTTCAACCATTACAGTACCTATAACTGCCATCTACATCCTTCCAAAGCTGTCAACATCTTAACTTGATGCACTTTTACTTCTTTGCCACTAAATCCTGGAACTTTAATTGTACAGGCAAACTCCTAGTTCCTGGTCAGCTTTCAGACCTGTGCCCACACAACCTCCCGATTAACAGGCAGCTCCTTACATCCTTGCCATGTTACCTAAGATCCTTGAAACTGTAAGCAAAATTGGCCTACTTTTCCCCAAGTGTGTATTTAATCCAAAATTCAGTCTTTTTGCAAAAGTGATCTTCTGAAAAACTTAATGGTGTTAATGGACACAAGATTTAATTTATACGTTCTGAATTTTTGGCAGCTCATTTTTATCCTGAGAAAATATTTTTGTTGGAAATGAAGCTCATTCTTGCCTTGAATCCAGGACACTAATAGTGAACTGAAACTGTAAGGTATAAAATTCATTAAAACTGCACAGGACAATCCCTCTATATATGAAGAGAAACCAGTGTGAACACACAAAACCTATTACCATCCTGTTAACAAGCATCACCTAGCCTCTATTTGTAAGCACATCCCTTACAAATAGCCAGGTGTGGTGGTGCACTAGTCTCAGCACAACTGCAGAGTTGAGGCATCTGAATTACACAGCTAGACTGCCCGAGCGCGCTACATGTGTGCCTAACAGGAGCAATTTGTTATAAATACAAATGTGCAATGCTGTAAATCACAAATTACCAACATTCTAACAGGATTATGAGTACCATGTTTTCATTTGGGTTAAACTTGGGCACAATTCAACTCACCAACACTTCAAACAACCCACTGCCTCAAGAAACCATACAATTCTCACACCAGGAGGCTGCCCATTCGTCCTCCAACCATTGTCCTTTTTCCAAGACTGCTCGAATTACTCACGTGTATTTTGGCCTCTGGACAAGTGTCCTTTTAAGCAAGGAACATTTTTAAGCTTTGAAAAATACCCTTCTTTTGTACATCGATTTCCCAGTTCTGGTTCCATTTAGTAAGACCACATTTTAAAAAGCATACAGATGGCTCACTCCAAACTTCCTGTTTTATTACTGAACTTGTAACATTCAACTATATGATTTAAGTCACATGAACATTGACAAAACAACACACACATTTCTAAAAATACTTTAATGAAAAAGTCATCTTTCCGTAAACATTTCATTATACCACAAATGAAACATTCAAATCCATTACAGACCACCTCTCAAGTCAAACATTGAAGCTTTGAAAGTTATTTTGAGTATTCACACAGGCTAACCACCCTTACATTACCCCTGCACATTAACATGCTTTATTCACTACTTTGTGACATTAAACTCCCAGGAGATAACCACCATTAGAAATATTGAATTTTGACTTACACTGAGCTCTTGAAAACCAACCCTATTCCTTATTCCTGACAAATGGATTATACCAGATATTGTCTCCTTTAGAACACAAGTGTAATCTCAGCTTTTTAAGAAATGTATTCCTGGAAGCAGTGACCTACACATGTTAAAAATCAGCTTACATTTGCCTAAAGCACTTTCCAACTTTATTGGTGCTACCACCTAAGAGAATACATTTTTCAGAAATGACAACAGAACTACATTCAAATAAAATAATTTTATTTCACAAGTAAAATGGAACCGAAAGACCGTCCTTAAAAGAAAAAGTGTTTCCTGTCTCATGAAATTTAATTCACTAAAACCTTGATTTATCTTTTTAAAGGCTATGGCCTTACTAACACTTAAATGCTGTGTGTAGAAATTCAGTTGTGTTAAAGTCAACCTTCTATTGTTCTACAGAAACTAGTAATTTGAGTGTCTTTTATGTTACTTTATCAAAAGTGAATTAAATCTCAATTTTTAATATGCCCTTTTGGGGCAGCAAAAATAGCCCTTATGAATCATCAGCAACTAATAGAAATAGTAACCAAGTAATTATTCTTTGGGAAAGATACCTTTTTATAAAAGACCATTAGTGTACTCAGGCTCCTACTGCTTCTAGTTAGATACCAAAATGAACAAAACCAAAATGAAAACCAAAATTACCCCACCAGTCCAAATTCCCTGAATCTGACAGCTTATGAAGCCAGCTGAACGAAAACAAATTTTCTCTATCTGTAATTACTAAGTTCATTTGAAGATGTTTTTTTCTAATTGGCTGTGTTACATCATGCTTATATTTTCAAAGTTGAGGTTACTTTCTGTTACCAAGAACTGACTCTGCTAAAGATACTGAGTTGTATACATGAAGAATATGGGATGGCCATTCCTTGGGAATTTTAAAAACTACCTAAGAGTTTAAATTGTGTCAAAATGTAGTAGCAAGAGCTTTTAGCTTGGTAATTTTTGCCAATGTGTCTATTAGAGGGACTCGTGTTCTAAAGTATGTAATATAAATTTATATGGAAATAAATGGTGTCAAGTTTTACTGTGAGCTACAAACCTTACCCAGCCAGAAACCTTCGTATTTAAGATGGTAGGAAAGACATTCCTCATTTAGGCAAGTAGGGTTCTCATTCAACCTGCAAATCAAAAAGATTACTCTTACCTTGCTTTACAAAAAATCACTCTTTAATTAGTGAAAAAATTCAAATTCAAGCCTTACCTAATGCTTATTGCCCTTCCTTGCAGGTCTAAATGCTAGACCTAGCAACTGTGGCAACTATCTCTCATTGATGTTCCAAAAGGCGAAGAGCTCCTTCCTGCTAGACTTTCTTCGATATTTCAGTTGTAATAAGCAGATTTAACTAGCTTTTGCAAAGTTGCTCACTATCATCATAGACTCTTATGCCTCCACTTCTCTGTAGTTGAAGCTCTTGCTGCTGCCTTGTCATTCTTTATTTATGCTGACTTGTCCATACTCAAAAGGCTGCTGAAGTCCTGTCTTAGTGAGTTTTCTTTGATCCACACTGTGCTTTAAAAAGCACATCTTAGGTCCTTTAAAGCTGGTTAAATCGCTCTCCTCATGGCTTACTTTTTCCACACTGTTCACACAAGCTAAGCTAACACAACTTATAAACAGGTCACACACAAAGATTTTACCTGCTTATAGGTTGGTTGCAAACAGTAACTTAACTGAAAATTATTTCCACTATTGAACTAGTTCCAGAACACAGAAAGTTGGTTATAACAGTACAATTAACCTCATATGCCATTAAAGGATACTGTCAAGGTTGTATCAGACAATTTCACAAACAAAAACAGAAAATGTTAATTTCCCCCATTCTTTCAACCTTTATTGTATGAATAAAAGAACTTGAGACAATTTAGCTCAATTTTAATGTTTCCCAAGCAGTATTTTGACCAGGTACCCAAGGTTTAACTTATGAACATTGACAGTGTCCATTTATATAACCACACTTTTAGTTATGAAGGACTTAACCATTTTCTATTAGCCTATTTTCTACACTGCTTATTCACATATGCCCATTAACAAATGGAATGTTGTCTGTTACATTTATTGGTTTGTGAGTGTTTTCTGTCTGTGAAGACCAATTTCCATGCTGGCATTGCATGCATCCAAGTATTAATAATGCACAGAGGCACAGAATTAGAGCAACAAGAGAGCATATTCAAACACTAGCACGCCCCATTCCCCTTTTTATTGCTTGTTTTGCTTAGTACTTTAAAAACCAAATAAAAATCTTGAATTCAATGTTCAACTGCCAAAGAAAAAGTAACAGCAGGGCACATACTTAGGGCTTGAATGAAAGAAATTGTAAGCACTAGCTGGCGCAAAACAGACATTGATTTATATGACCTTTAAATCTAAAAACTCTTTTCTCAACCAGGGTCTTCCAAACAAATTGACAACTCACACCAACATGATTTAGATTAAAATATACACAAAGAATAACACAATGTGTCCTCTGGGAATTTAAGAACTTGGTGATTATCCAAATTTGAATCCAGGTCTTTGGGGAATAAGATGCTTGTACTAAACAACTGTGCTACATTTCTGCTGCATTGAATGGTTCTGAACAATCACACCTAAACTACCCTTGGTTTCATTCAGCAAAACGTATAGGGTAAAAGAGGAGAAAGCATGCCAGCCAGTTAAGGGTTTGATAATGCATGATTTTTATTCTCTTGTTCTGAAAGCCTGTATTGGGGGAAGGGAAAAAACCCAAAAATAACTCGAGATGTAAAAACAGGGCCTCCTCTTGTGTGCTTTGAAAAGAAAACAAAACCAAGTATCCACTAATTTGCTCAGATACAGCAGGCTTAGTGGTTCTTTATCTCAAAAAATTAATGGTTTTTAATGTGAGAGAGGGAAAACATCCACTACCCTTTTCCCGGGATTTAATGGAGGGCAGCAGACATTTCTTTATACCCAAATACTACGCAGCAGTTTAAATGTGACCAAGGTAAATGCAGAATGGAGATGTTTTAAACACAGCTAGGACTCAGCAAATCTAACACACTAAAAATCATAATTACATTTTGAAAGAAAATGCACAAAACCATAAGAATTTTGAGATTTTTCATTTGAAAGTAATCTTAATGCTATTAAATTCACAAATATGCTAATTTAAATACCCAATCCTATTTTATCTAAAACACACATTGCAAACATACAAATATCTATTCTCTCCACATGTCAGTGCCCATTTGTATCATGGTTTGAAATGGGGAGAATAGATTTATTCCCCTTAAATCTGCAAGTCAGTAGGTGTTTCTTTACAGTTAACTTTAGCAAAATTCATACAAAATAGTAATTAACAATGATCTTCTTTACTTGTTAACTCACAAGGAAACACCTTCAAAACTGCATTATGTTAAAGTTTCTGTACTAAAGTGTAGAAAAACTGAACTACACAAATATTGAAAAGTTAAAAATTCCTTAATTTTTTATTCCTGGTACCACTACCACAATTTACAGGGCAATATACCTGATGTAATGAAAAGAAAGAAAAAGACAAAGCTACAACAGATAAAAGACCTCAGGAATGTACATCTAATTGACACTACATTGCATTAATCAATAGCTGCACTTTTTGCAAACTGTGGCTATGACAGTCCTGAACCAGAAGGGTTTCCTGTTTAAGCTGCAGTAACTTTTCTGACTATGGATCATCGTTCCTTCTGTGGCAGATTTTTACAGTTCCTCTAATGCATTTGGGACGACTGTCTCAAAGTAACCTGCAGCTTTCCTGACAACTCCTCGCTCTCTCTCCTGCTAAGAACTGTAGCCTGTTGAATAATACAGGATAAAAAAATTATTACACTCAGTGAACAGTTCCACATATTCTTTATCATCATGATAAAAATTTAAAGATACCTACCCTTTTCTGTTGTTTTTTTTAAAACCTTCTGCTACCATATCCACCACTTCCACCACCAGATCCATAACCACCTGGAAATACACATGAAGAATTTTCAAATACATACAGGATTTTAAATTGAAATGGCTATGAAAAATATTGACTCAAGAAGTTACTTACCACCATAAGGACTGCCAGAGCTTCTGCCACCAAAACTGCCCCCCTTCATGGGTCCATAATTTGACTGCTGTTGTCCACTGTAATTTCCAAAATCATTATAGTTCCCACCACCACCATAGTTACCTGAAATCACAAAGATTTTATGGTTCATTTGCAGTTACTTTTTGTGAGTTTTCATTTGTATAACTAATCTACTGACAATCACAGCATCATGTTCTGTAACACTCCATGTGACTTTCCAGACCTCAAAGCCACCAAACTCCCTCTACTAAACAGAGGAAACAAAAGTGGAAGATTGCCAAAAGCATTTTCTAGCTAACTGTTAGGGGGCTGGGGAAGTAGCTCAGCAGCACAAGGCTTTCCTGGTAAGGCCAGGGCTCTTAAGTTCGATTCTCCGTACCAAAAAAATTAAAAAACAAAACTGTATTAGGGTATTAGGAGAATGCCAGTTTATTTGATACTGTACCCTAGGCATGTGTTCTCATCCCACGAACACCATCAACCTGTTAAGGGTCCAATTCATTAATTCACTAATACCCAGAGAAATGGGTTAGATTTAAAATCTGCAAAATGACAGATTGTTAATCTAACCCCAGATGGTATCATATTCAACAAGTCTGAGTATTCATATAATTTGCAAATCTTGTGTAAAGTGCCCAACAAATAAATTTCTGCCAAAAACACAACATAAAAAATGTAAACAGCCATTTTACTAACCTTCCAAAAAGAATTTAGTGTATTTTGTCAATTTAATGAACAGACAAAACTGAGTTTATCTCCATTTGGGTGTTTTTTTTAACACAATGAAAAGAACTTAAAATGTTTTTCATCACTTTTTAAAAAAACATTGTAATAGAACTATGTTGAATATTTAACATTTAAATAAAGCAAACTTACCACCACCAAAATTGCCTCCTTCGTTGTAACCATCATATCCTCCTCCACCACCACCGTATCCACCACCTTGGTTTCCATATCCTGGTCCTCCACCATATCCTCCTCTACTACTGTAACCAGGTCCACCACCATAGTTCCCACCTAAAAGATAAAGTAGATCAAACAATAAATTTCAAATGGGGGCTGTGGATTTAGCTCAGCAGCATAAGCGCCTGCCTTGCAAGCAAGCAGTCGTGAGTTCGATCCCTGGTACTGATAAAAAGGAAAAAGACAAATAAAAAAAAAAAAAAAAAAAGAAGAACAAATTAATGTATAGAGGATAGACATTTAATTTTGAGCTTATATAACATTTAAAGACATTGTCAAACCAATGAAATGACCTACTATATCATTAATAGAGCAAAGAACCTGAGCCAGTAGGAAATTTGTGTTTTGGAGACAGGGTCTTGCTCTAATTCAGGCTGGGCTCCAACTCACTATGTAGCCCAGGCTGGCCTATGTCTTGGCAGAAATCCTCCTGCCTCAACCTCCTGAATGCTGGGATTACAAGTAGGCTAGTAAGAATTAATATGACCGTTTCTTTGAATGAGCTCAATTCAAATTGAAAACTCACTACCTCCACTTTCAAAAACATCACCAAGGAAAATCAGAACATTTCTAGCTTTTCTTTTTTCTTTCCCCCTCAGTACCAAGGATCAAACTCACAACCCCACACTTGGCAAGGCAGGCACTCACGCCACCGAGCTAGATCCTCTATGTTCAGTCTCCAAGGGCAGCGCATTGTCTTATGGTACTAGCTAAGTATACTTATACTGTTTAACCCTTTAAAGCTGACCTAAATTAGAAAGCAGTAAGTCAATTTTCAGTGAAGCACAGAAACAAAGTTAAAATACTAAACATCACTTAAAACTTACCATCACCGCCAAATCCATTATATCCACCATCACCTCCTCCATAACTACCTCTGCTGCCACCTCCACCACCATAGCCGCCTGAGGAAAGTCAAGGTACCGAGTTACAATTATATATTCAGCTTTTCATTCATTACACATCAGATACGTATGTACTGAGAACTAGTAAGTGCATCTTACCTCTTCCACCAAAGTTTCCACCACGGCCAAAATTCCCTCCACCACCTCCAAAGTTTCCTCCACGACCCATAAAGTTGCCAGAGCCACCTCCACGACCTTAAATACACACAAAATGATTTTTAAGACCTTTACCAACACCACACCCATCTATTCTGCAAGTGTACACAAATCCTACTCACCTCTTTGTGATCCAGCAGACTGCATCTCTTGTTTAGAAAGGGCCTTTTTCACTTCACAATTATGCCCATTAATAGTGTGGTATTTCTGAACTACATTTTTTTTAATCAAAACAAAAAAAGTTATTTTATGTTTGGAAAAGCACACATAAACGACATCCTGTCATTTCATAACATTAAAACACTGTCAAGAAGGCAGCTGAGTCTGAATGGGGATGAGGGAGTATTTCTTGATCCAGATGCTGGTGTCTACAGGTGTAGATGCTTAGAAAACAGAACTACACAACAGTACAGATATCAAACATAACAAAATCATGAACAATATAGCAAATTTTCAAAGCAAAAACCATTTGTCTCACCCAAGTTCCTAGGAATTGTTACTTACCAACAATTTTATCAACTGTATCGTGATCATCAAAAGTTACAAAAGCAAATCCTCTCTTTTTCCCACTCTGCCTGTCTTCCATAACTTCTATGGTTTCAATCTTGCCATACTTTTCAAAGTAGTCTCTCAAATTATATTCTTCTGTATCTTCTTTAATACCACCAACAAAAATTTTCTTCACTGTTAGATGGGCACCAGGCTTTACTGAATCCTACAGATAAAACAATGTTAAGTCAAAAATAACAGACATTCACAATTACACATATTATACAACATACCAATAAAATACCTCTCTAGAAACAGCTCTCTTTGGTTCCACTACACGCCCATCAACTTTGTGTGGTCGAGCACACATTGCTGCATCCACCTCTTCCACACAAGAGTAAGTCACAAAACCGAAGCCCCTGGAGCGTTTTGTTTGGGGATCTCTCATTACCTGCAACATAAAATGTTCAAGGTTTTATAATATGCCTTTACAGACCATCCTTTCCTAAAAGCCACTTTATTCCCTTGGTAACTTACCACACAATCTGTGAGTGTGCCCCATTTCTCAAAATGTTCTCTTAAACTATCATCTGTAGTTTCAAAGCTCAGACCACCAATAAACAGTTTCCTCAACTGCTCTGGTTCCTTTGGATCATGGCCCTGAGGGGGGGGAAAAACAATACATTTTAATTACTTTTTTGGGGGTGTTTGTGAAACAGTTCGGGCTGGCCTTGAGTACACTGTGTAGCTAACCCAGCAATTTGCAACAATCCTCCTGCCTCAGCCTCCCAAGTACTGGGATTACAGGTGTGTGCCACCACACCCAGCTACAATTACTTCTTGTAGGAGATGAAATTTCTAAATTGCACCTTTCTTTAACATGTAAGAAAAAGTAACAAATACATGTAACAAACATCTCCTGTTAAGAAGTTTGCCATGGTGCCAAGAAAACCAACACCAGCCTATCAACTGCAAACACTAACATCCAAAAACTGGAGTCCAAGAGAATTGCATAATCAAAAATCCTTTTAATTTTTCAAGCCACAACTAAAAGTACCTGGGGGCTGATCTGCTAATGAGAAGACATTTTCTAAGAAACCAAAATTTTAGTAAAAGTGTCACACCCATTCCATTTTAAGTGCTGTCAATCTGCACTCCAACAAGCATGTTAAGCCACAAAACTGCGACATTCTTAAGTTCTAAGTGACAAAGTTAAATAGACATTCTTAGGCTTAACCAAAGACAAAAGACCCATCCTAGGAGTTTTCTGCAACCAATTTATTATGTACTATAGAAACTACTTTACATGCACTTGCATAAACCTTTAAAAACATAAAACATTTCTCGAATCACAACACATTGTCAAGTTGGATTTAAATTAGGTACAGCATTACTGCCTGTACAGAACAGAGCACCAACACAAATTTACTGTCTGAAAAATATGATGCAGCTTGGAATTGTTTTTACTTTAAATTATATGAACTGCCATTTAATTCATGCATTAAAATGTTGATCCAAATTCCCTAAAGGGACTCACATCTTCCAGTCTTCTAGAAGTAGATGTTAAGCAATTTAATATGGAAAAAAACTCTTAAAAATACGTAATTAACAGCCTAACGTCCGTCTCATTTTTTCCAGGTCTTGAATAAAATTATTTGATCGACAACACACACACAAAAAATCAATAGAAAACTTAAAATCTACATGAAATTCTCCAAACACGTGAACGTTCTGACAGCAGTTCTCTGAAACAAAAATCTAAAAAACACTACTATAGTCGATCCAAATGTGAAAACAGGTTTAAAAACTGTTTTTCCAAATTTTACACTTAAATTCCGGAAGACTCAGCTACGTAGCCAATTTTGGTAACATGTACTATGGTAAAAATACTCGAGCAAGAATAGCAGATCGAAAGCATTTTAAAGCAGCAAACTTCTCATAAACCTCATATTTCCAACTGGGTGGAGCAAAAAAAACACAGGCCCAAAAATTAATGAATTCTCGTTTCCAGAGAATTAGTAAAGGCCTAAAAATGCCCGGCAGAATTACAGAGAGCGCGCCGCGCCGAGCTCCGAGGCCATTTGCAGCATTTATTTCAGCCGGGCGCCTCCTGCCAGTTCCCTCCAATCCCGCGCTCTTCCCCCGCGGCGCAGCGAGGCGGCGGCCATTGCGAGCCAATGCGCCATTTCGTAACGCGGCAGCCGATCAATGTCAATGGGGCCGCCGCCCGCCTGCTCGCTCGCCCGGATGTGCCTGCTCGTCCCTCCCCTCCCCCACCGCCTCTCCAACCGCTCCCGCCGAGGCCCGCCATGCCGCTCTCCGCCTCGCCGACGAGGCCGCGCAACCAGCGGGCCTCTATCCCGCCCAAGCCTCCCACCCAGCCGCGCTGCGCCCACGGGCTATGGCTGCGACCGGTGGAGAGGCAGAGGCGGGCGAGGAGCCCCGGAGAAGCCTTCGAGCCCCGCTCCCCTCCCCCTCCCACCGCCCGTCTCAACGCAGAGCGCGGGACGGCCGACCAGATCCACCCGGCCTCCCCACTCCCGTCGAGCCAGGCCCCCCCATGCCGGCCACTGCCCATCAACCCCCCGCGCTCCCCCTAATACCTCCTCCCCCCGGCGGCGACGGCGACGGCCGGAGTCGGGCTGGGGGCGACCGGGCGGCGGTTTTACCTCCATTTTGAGACCGGACTCGCCTCTTCCAACTCGAGTTCAATATGGGACCGAGAGGAAGAGGCGGGGCCAGTTGTCACGTGATGCGCTTACCGCGCGCCACCGATTTGGGGGAGGAGCGATTGAGAAAATGGGCGGGTCCTAGTGGGAGAGAACGGGGACTGGACGAATGGATTGGCGGGCAGAGTGGCGAGGGCGGAGGCTCGGCGGGCCGCGGGAGCGCGCGCGCCTTGCCAACTTCCAATGCAGTGCTTCTCTGGCCGCGATTCGCGCCCAGGCGGCTGCTGTTTCGTCACCGCGATCTCGACCAATGGCAAGGGCCCACGTCGGGAGAACGCCTCGTGACCGGGCGTCAGCAGAGAGGCCTTTCCTTTTCTTCTCGCGCTCTTTTCCCCTCCCCCACGGAGGCCTTTAGGTCTCCATTTCCGAATTCACTGCCCTCCTGTTCATGAAATAGAGCCCCACACTCTTGTGACTGAAAGGTGTGCAGATCCCTTCTCGCCTCTCAGATCTGCCCTTCCCTAGTGCAGGATCCCAGTGTCTGTGATCTGCATCGCCCACTGGAGAGGGCCAGTGCTGAAAACTGCGACAGCGAGGGCAAGCGTGGCGGGCCGGGACTGCTTTTGCGCGGTTCCTTTGGCAGCCCGAGGCGGGTCTGGCGGGGTTTCGGTCACAGAGTGCGCATGGGTAGCGGGACCCCTGGTCATGGTGTTTCATAAAGCGCTGCGTAGCGAGGACAGAGCTCCAGCATCTGTTCTAGAGGACAGATTGTGGGGAATGGAGTGACTATAACATCTCTAAAAAGGCACAGTCGCCAGCTAGGGTACCTATGCCCCAGATTTATACCTTGATGTCCAATTCTATTGTGAATAAGATGAATTTGTTAATCTAGAAATGTAATCCTCTGCGTACTCAAGGAGATTTAAAGTTTTTTGTTTTTTTAATGTGACGGACTTGCTATGCAGTTCAGGCTGCGCTTCAGCTCATTATGGATCCCACCAGCCTGATCTCATTCATACTCTTAGTGCTTCGGCCTTCCAAGTGCTGAGATTACAGGCATGGGCCACCATGCCCAACATGGGGTTTTAAAGCGTTGAGCTTTAGGTGTTTTGTTTTGTTGTTCTTTTTAAATGAAAATAGGGATAGGACTAGGGGACTTCCCAAAACCCATGACAACCATAAGTTATAGATTTGTACTAAAGCAAAGTTACTGATAAAGTCACAATTGACATGCCTCCCTTTCTTGCAAGAAAATGCTTTGTGTTAATTTAGCAATACAAGTGACTGGCCCTTTCTTAGAAAGATTAGAAATCTAATCAGTTATATTGTAAATTGTTTGAAAATTTAAATGAGGTGTGGTCACCTTGGAGTTTGGGAGAGGGCCAGGCCTAGTATAAGAATTTGTTGATGTTTCTCATTTCATAAGGGCAATCCTTAGGCTGAGGATACAGCTCAGAAGTAAGGCGTGTGCCTGGCAAGTACAAGGTCCTGAGTTCCATCTTCGCTATCAAAAAAAAAAAAAAAAAGGCAATCTTTGTATTTGTGAAGGGTGAACATAAGGTGCTATGTGGTAGGAATGAGCCCAGTCACCAGGTTTTAAAGTAACTTGGATGAAATGAAATAAACCCCAAATAGCTTCCTCCTGTTGCTGTGCTTCTGATATTGATAAAAATACAATGCCTGGCTCAGATGTGTGAAGTCTGTGGTCTTACCACATGAAGGAATGAAGTTGCAAACTAAAATTAGGAAGTTAAAAGAATTTCATTGGCAGTACAGAGAAGACTGCTTCTAGGTTTCCAAGCAGGCTTTGGAGGCTTTTTGTCAGGGGTACTTAAACAGCAAAATCACAAAATGGGCACAAGGTGGGTGTAACTACAATAAACCACTAGGAGTCGAGTATGGTCACTTAGCTAATACAGATCCGGCGGGGAACTGAGTCTCCTAGCAAGGGTATTTACAATTTAGTCTCAAATTGCTTCTAATTTCCGGGCCTGGTTAGTGAGTCTCCATCCTGAGGCCAGGCTCTTCAGATTTACCTCTAAGCACAATTCTCTTTTTTTTTTTGTCTTTTTGAGACAGGGTCTCATTGTGCAGTTCAGGCTGGCCTCGAGCTCACTTTGTAGCCCAGGCTGGTCTTGAACTCGCAATGATCCTCCTGCCTCAGCCTCCTGAATGCTGGGATTACAGGCGTGAGCCACCACGCCCAGTTTAAGCACAATTCTCATGCCTTTTTGGGCTGACTTCCTGGAGGGCTCAATCCCTAACTGCATATTAACATCTTATCTAAACTAGGTGTGGTGGTATACACCTGTGAGCCTAGCATTTGGGAAATTGAGGCAGAGGAATTGCCTGGAGTTCAAGGCCAGCCTGGACTACATGGTGAGTTTAAAACCAGCCTTAATTACAAAATGAAAACATCTCAAAAAAAAAAAAAAAACAAAACAAAAAAAAAAAACAAAATCAAGCGTGGTGATGAACCCCTATAGTCCCAGCACTCCAGAGACTGAGACAGGAGGACTGTCACAAGTGTGAGGCCAGCCTGGGCTACATAAAGAGTTCAACACTCCAGCCTGAATCACAGAGTGAGCCCTGTTTCAAAAAAAAAAAAAAAAAAAAATTTCCTACTCCCAATTGTTGACCCTGAGACACACAGGCTTGAACCTTGAGCTTGACTACTCTCCATTTTTTTTTTTTTTAATCGTTTTGAGATAGGGTCTCCTATGTAGTTCAGGTTGGCCTTGGGCTCACTTTGTAGCCCAAGCTGGTCTTGAACTTGCAGTGATCCCAAGTGCTGGTGTTGCAGGCAGCTGAGTTAGAAATAGTATAGGCTGGGCTGGGGATTTAGCTCAGCGGCATAAGCGCCTGCCTTGCAAGCAGGCACTCGTGAGTTCGATCCCCAGTTCCGGTAAAAAGGAAAAAGACAAAAAAAAGAAAAAAGAAAGAAAGAAAGAAAAAGAAATTGTATAGGCTAGGGCCTCAAAGGAACCAGTGCAGAAGCCCAGATACTTTGCAACTATGGGGGAGACAGATACCTCCTGCTGTGGGCCAGGCCTCAAGACAAAAGACCAAGCAAATGCACCCACATCTTAAAGACTGATACTCTAAATAGTTCCTGTCACCTTGAGGAATCCTGGAGTTACCCTCCAAACCCCCTAGGGAAGAGTCACTGCCCTCAAAGAATGCCCGCTTTCTATGTGACTGGCTTCCCCATTTGTCCCTAATGTAGTCAATTTTACCTGAACTATTAATCTTATTGGTTAACCATAGTTCTGTCCCTCCTTATGCCCATCTGCCTTGTGAGTTCCCCGTTTCCCCACCTTGAACCCATCTCACCCCATGATTTTAATCTATAAAAGTCCCTGGAAAAGTCCCTGGAACAGACCTTGGCAACCGGTTCAGGACCCCTTCTCTTTCAGACAGGAGCTTTCTTTCTCTCAACAAATATATTCTCATTCTTTGATTTTAGAGAACATGAACTCATACCGGTTATAGGAGTTCAGGAATTTCATTCCCCTGTATCACTGGGATTATAGGGGTGCGCCACCACGCCTGGCTGCCCTAACTCTGAAGTGAGAGAGTGCATGAGAGTTGGGAAGGGGGTTAAGTGCTGGGATGGTGCCTTTATGAAACCTGTTTATTTCAGGCCATGTCAACTTTTTTCATATCATGATGTACAGAAAATGATAACTTTATGTAGAACACTAGAGTTAGAAATTTTGAGCCATTTGGATGATAGTTAAAAATATCCATAACATTTTCTTCAAGGTATATAATTTTTATTTAAAAATAAAATACAGAATATTCGGGATAATACTAAACATGGAATTCACATAAAACTTGCAAATACAAATTTCCATGTTTTTAAATTATTGGTTTTAACCTATTCCTGTGAATGCATTTCCATACCAGATTTTATGACTGAAATGGCTTTTCACAGTTTGTGATCCAGACTTTTTAATGCTGAACTCCTCATATTCTGAGGCGTTCATTATCAGTGAGGGCCTCTGATCACATAACTGGGTGAGAAAATATTTAAAACCATTTTATATATCCATTCAAAATTTATAATTAGAATTAACATTTAAAGACTCTAACAACTCTTCCTTTTCTTTTATTGACAAATGTAATTTCATGTAAAAATGTAAATGAATTTTGAACCTAATAGTACTTTTTTTTTTTTTTTTGGTGATGCTAGGGATCAAACCTAGGGCCTTATGCATGGAATGCAAGAACTCTTCTAAATAGCCACATCTCCAGCTCCCCTGGTAATACAGTTTTATTTCATTTTATTTTATTATTATTACTATTTTTGTCTTTTTGAGGCAGGGTCTCTGTATGCAATTCAGGTTGGCCTTGAGCTCACTTTGTAGCCCAGGCTGGTCTCGAACTCACAATGATCTTCCTGCCTCAGCCTCCTGAATGCTGGGATTACAGGCATGAGCCACCATGCCCAGCAGTAGTACAGTTTTATAACAAGATTTCTACTTTGGGCCAAGTGTGCTGCTGCACGCTTACAATCCTGGCTAATTGTTAGTGTGTTAGGCAGAGGCAGTAGGATTGCAAGTGCAAGGCCAGTCTGAACAATTTAGCAAGACTCTGTCTCAAAATAATATTTAATAGGCTCGGGATGTAGCTCAGTTCTCTGTGGACTCAATTCCCAGTACCTCAAAAAAAAAAAAAAAAATTTCCACATTGAAATTCCAGCTTTTGGAGCACGCTTACATTGCCACAGCTAGTAGCTTGGATGCAATTTTAAAAAGCCACTGGTTTCACTGGGAGGGGGCAAACACCTGTGATCCCAGCACCGTGAGACAGGAGGATTGCTGTGAGTTCAAACCCAACCTGAGCTACACAGCAGGTCCTTGCCTCGAAGATAAAAAAATAAAAAGAAGGGAAAAGGGTGCTTAGCTGCAAAAGGATTAAAAACAGCTACTGTATGTTAAAAGACATATGGAAAAGGTGATACTTGGGGCGGAGCTCCTGGCTCCTTGACAGATACTGCAGGGCTGGGGCTATGTGTTTTACCTTGGGCACCCAGATGATAAATTCATGCTGGGCAGTGACAATGTTGCATATGATTACCCATTTGGCACACACTGCCCGCAGGCTAACTCAAATACCGGTTG